ACATGCTGACAAATAAATCCAGTGTTTATAAATTAAACTATTAAACATTTACTGTTCCTCATCTGGCTGTTAAACAAGAACTAAAGAAGGACAGAAATGCATTTTTAGTCTCTGATTTTGGATGTTAGTGCCACTAATCACAAATGTTGTACCTTTCAGCTAAATAGCCGCTGACAAGAATGTGCTCAAAATGTAATTTTTAACTACGTTTTCTTCTCACATATATTTCACAGGATTGATGTGTTGACAAAGGCTTCACACCCTGCAGATGTTCAGAACACTGCCTGAGGAAGTTGCCTGCACTTTACTGGACACAATTAATATAGTTTACATTATTCACTGCCTGCCACACTGGGGCCCAAACTGGTTGAGCCCTTTAAGCCCTGCCACAATTTAAATAATAGTGCTAATTTTTAGAAAACAAAGGGCCAGTCACCATGGTATCTAATCTGCAAATATATGTGATTGTGTGAACTGATTTTCTAGTTAATAAGAGATAGAGTCTACATTTAAACAATTGTGAAAACAACATAATGTAACCTTATCCCTCCCTTCTAAATAGCATTATTACTGAAATTGAATGGCCTAATCTAGTTACACTGCAGGGGGGCAGTACAGAGCTTTATGCCTACATGTACATTTTTTCCCAGTTGCATTGTTCTTGTTGTGGAGTCTGATTTGTATTACCTCCACAAAGCTATTTCTTAGTAATGGAACCATATGGTACTGTGATTGCTTGACAGCCATTATTTGCCAGTGGGAGAACAGGGCTTTGCAAAATTACTGTATGGTGCCCCTCTCCCACAATAAAAAACAACATATTGTGACTACAAAAACCCTTCTGCTTTGCTTGGGCCTCTACTCAGAATGTCCAGGGTTTTTACCTACAGAATGTCCAAACTTTTTAGCTACAACAAAGAAATCACATCAAATTTCCTCTCACTTGAGCGGACAGCAAAACTCAAAAAGGGAAGGAAATAAACACTAAACATAAAGACATGGGACTGTACAACTGCTGAGGGGAAAAAAAACTGTTGCTCCTTTTAATATTACATTTTAAAAACCAACAACTTGTGATTCTTTTCCCACTTTACGAGTTGATTTTGCTCTTGGAGAGACAGAAGGGAAGATGATTTGGGAAAGGAGGAAACAGAGACAAAGAAGGGCCAGAAACTGAAACTGCGATATGTGATGGACAGGAATGCCCATAGTATGCCAAATGACACTCAGCTCCAGAACTCATTCTCCATCAGTAAAACCTCTACTACCACCAACATATCCAAGTGCCTAGAAAAAATATGGATGATGAATTAGATGGATAAAATGTAACTAGCTCAGTCACTCTGAACCCCAGGAGGATAGAAGTGATGATGGTAGGAAGTAGGAAACACTCTGAAAATCTAGCTCAAACACTGATCTTGCTATCAACAAAGGGCATCGATCCAATGACCCATTGTCAAATTTGTTAAATGACTTGGGATCATACTTGAGTCCAGACTGGTCCTGACACACAGATGGCCACACTGGGAAGAAATACTTTCAAACTCAGTCTCTCTCCTCCTCACCCCACCCCATCCCCCAAAAAACTATACCCATGAAAGGTACAAAACAAAAAATCTTCTTCCCTGGGTTTAAGGAGTTATCTAATCACTGACATATGCAGAACAAGCCCATATGTGCATTTTTGGTTTATGGCTCTTCAGGACAGGGAAAGACAATGGAGCAAATAATTAAGCAATCAATTTGCAAACACCTAGAAGATAATAAGGTGATAAGTAACAGTCATCATGGATTTGTCAAGAACAAATAGCGTCAAACCAACCTAGTAGCTGACTTTGACAGCGTAACAAGCCTTGTGGATGGGGGAAGTGGTAGATGTGGTATATCTTGACTTTAGTAAGGCTTTTGATACTGTCTCATATGACCTTCTCATAAACAAACTAGGTTCACAGTCAAGCGGGAAGGGCATATCGAGTGGGGTCCCACAGAGATCAATTCTGGGTCCAGTTCTGTTCAACTTTGTCATCAGCGATTTAGATAATGGCATAGAGAGAACACTTATAATTTTGCAGACAGTACCAAGCTGGGAGGGTTTCAGAGTAACAGCCATGTTAGTCTGTATTCGCAAAAAGAAAAGGAGTACTTGTGGCACCTTAGAGACTAACCAATTTATTTGAGCATAAGCTTTCGTGAGCTACAGCTCACTTCATCGGATGCATACTGTGGAAAGTGTAGAAGATCTTTTATACACACAAAGCATGAAAAAATACCTCCTCCCACTCCACTCTCCTGCTGGCAATAGCTTATCTAAAGTGATCACTCTCCTTACAATGTGAATGATAATCAAGTTGGGCCATTTCCAGCCCAAATCCAGGTTTTCTCACCCCGCCCCACACAAACCCACTCTCCTGCTGATAAGCTATTACCAGCAGGAGAGTGGGGTGGGGTGGGGTGAGAAAACCTGGATTTGGGCTGGAAATGGCCCAACTTGGTTATCATTCACATTGTAAGGAGAGTGATCACTTTAGATAAACTATTGCCAGCAGGAGAGTGGGGTGGGGGGAGGTATTTTTTCATGCTTTGTGTGTATAAGAGATCTTCTACACTTTCCACAGTATGCATCCGATGAAGTGAGCTGTAGCTCACGAAAGCTTATGCTCAAATAAATTGGTTAGTCTCTAAGCTGGGAGGGGTTGCAAATGCTTTGGAGGATAGGATTAAAATTTGAAATGATCTGGACAAACTGGAGAAATGGTCTGAAGTAAATAGGATGAAATTCAAGAAGGACAAATGCAAAGTACTCCAATTAGGAGGAAATAATCAGATGCATACATACAAAATGGGGAATAACTGCCTAGGAAGGAGTACTGCAGAAAGGAATCCGGGGGTCATAGTGGATCACAATATGAATCAACAATGTAACACTGTTGCAAAAACACCAAACATCATTCTGGGATGTATTAGCAGGAGTATTGTAAGCAAGACACAAGAAGTAATTCTTCTGCTCTATTCCTCGCTGATTAGGCCTCAACTGGAGTATTGTGTCCAGTTTTAGATGCCACATTCTTGGAAAGATGTGGACAAATTCGAAGAAGTCCAGAGAAGAGCAACAAAAATAATTATAGGCTAAGATTTTGTCACGGATCTTTTTAGTTAAAGTCATGGACAGGTCACGGGCAACAATGAAAAATTCATGGAAGCCAGTGAGCTTTCCCTGACTTTTAGTAAAAATATCCATGACAAAATGGGGAGCATGGGCAAGTGTGGGCTGGCTGGGAACTCCAGGGTCCTGCTCTGCTGGTGGCTTCAAGCTGCAGGGGTTTCCCCTGCTGGGAGCAGCAGGGATACCCCCTGCCGCCTGCGATGGCGGGAGTTGTGGGGAACCCTCCTGCCACCTGCAGTCACCTGGAGCTGCAGGGGGTCCACCTGGTGGAGACTCTGCATCTTTCAGCCCATGCTGGCTGAAGTCACGGAGGTCTTTGGCAGTCACGGAGGTCTGACTTCCGTGACCTCTGTGAGTAAATCGCAGTCTTACTTATGAGGGATGAGTGGGAAAAAATGGGTTTGTTTGGTCTGGAGAAGAGAACGCTAAGAGGGGACATGATAATAGTTTTCAAATACATAATAGGTTATTACAAGGAGGAGGGAGAAAAATTGTTCTTGTTAACCTCTCAGGATAGGACAAGAAGCAATGGTCTTAAATTGCAGCAAGGTTTAAATTGGACATTAGGAAAAACTTCCTAACTGTCAGGATAGTTAAGCAGTGGAATAAATTGCCTCATTGGAGATTTTTTTAGAGCAGGTTAACAAACACCTGTCAGGGATGGTCTAGATCAGGGATTGGTAACCTTTGGCACACGGCCCCCTAGGGTAAATCCCCTGGTGGGCCGGGCCAGTTTGTTTACCCGCTGTATCTGCAGTTTCGGCCAATCACAGCTCCCACTGGCCGTGGTTCGCCATTCCAGGCCAATGGGGATTGCGGGAAGCAGCGCAGGCCGAGGAATGTGCTGGCCACCGCTTCCCGCAGCCCCCATTGGCCTGGAAGTAATATGGTGCATATAATATGGTTATTGTTGTTGCTGTGCATTCTGAGCAATGGAGGGGCTTGTTCTGACACAAGCACAATGGAATAGGGTGAGAATCAGTAATTGTTTCTACTGTGATGTCTCTTGTGTATACACTGTGTTGTGGTGGCTTTTCCATTTCTGGTACACCACAAATCAGGTCATTGAGCAATGGTAATTTTTCAGGACATCGTATTCTTTGGAGTAAGCTGCAATTGAAAATTCTAGCCTCATTCTCTCGATAATAAGAAAATTCATATGAGTAGGGAGGGGAATATATTAGTATTCTGAGTGGCTTTGTGTAGAATGACTAATCTGCTTTAGCAGGTACCTTTATGGTTTTAGGATAGCAGCACACATCTTAAATATGTCTTTCTGCAGAAAAAAAAAATTGTTGTAGACCTCCAGCTGATGTGTTCTTTTAGTTATTTGAGCCTGTTTAAGTTCTAAGCTTATACTGAATTAGAATTGTTTGCAGAAATTGAGTTTTAATTAGGACATACTGTCTTTTGTAAGAAGATTGGCTGATTTCTTTTTAATAAAATGCATTCACCAGATATTGTCTGTCTAAACAAACATTCCAGGATGATACTCATGTGACTTCCTTGTCTTTCTAGAGGGGACTGTGTTATGATGTCATGAATTACTTAAATAGCTGCTGCTTCTTGAAATCTAAATTCAAATGCTATTTGGATCAGAATGGCAATTTGCAGAGTATCATTTGGATCAGCTTATAATGAAATGTAAATTATACTACAATGCAACTGTTCACATGCTTTTTTTAGCAATGTAAAAGGCTGAAGAGAAATCATCAAAGAGAGGGCTAATTACAATCAAATTAAATGACTAGTTTAGAATTGTGATGCAGAACTATGGAAAACTGACTGTTTTGCCTTTGTGGTGATAGTTTTTTATCTCTGTGTATGTGTTAACCAGGCATATCTTGAACATTCCTACATCCTGATTTGTGAACCAAACACAGGCTGGAGAAAGAATAATACTTGCCTTTGCAATCTGTGAAGGAAGTGGTTTGGCTGAAGAAGAAAGGAAAGTCGCTTATGTGGTATCAGGTGTGCATTACCTGCAAACTATACATCCTCAAATTCAAACTTTAGGACTGTTGCCAAAGCCAGGCCAATGAGATAGACCATTCTGGGTATTGCCAGGCAAGTGAGCACTTCAGGCAAATCTTTTCAGTATAGTTTGCAAGCCAGAACTGTGGAAGTAATTAGTCTGCTCTTCATGGTACATTTTCCCATATAGCTTTTGAATGGTTACACATCGAAAGCTTTTCTTTCTTTAATTTTCTCTTCTATTAAATTTTCATATATCTACAAGGGAGCTTTACACCAAAGGGAATGTGTGGCTACAAAAGAAGGTTAACGCAAACCAAATTTGAGAAATGAAAAACACACACAGATCCATACGGACAAGTCTCCCGGTAAACATCGGCAATGAAAGAGAGAAACTTTACAGGGATATACACTAAACGACCACCTCTCTTTCTTTTAGGGATGCCAGTGTCAATAGTCTTGGTGTTACTTCATATCACAACACTGAAACATGAATACACAAAGTTACAGCTGGTAACTTTCAGGTTGGCGTTGCATATGCCTTTTTTCCCAAACATCAACCACAGGGCTTATTTTTCTGCCCTAAATATGTTTTTGTTATTTGCAGTATCAACTCTTTGGAAGACTATGTTTCCAGATAGCAGCTAAGGTTACATCGGTAACAAGTAACAAATGATTTGTTTAAGTCAAAATTGTAAACTGAGGTTCTCCTTTTCCACTTTGACATTGGATATATGACTTCCACCAAGGAAAAATTTTAATTGGATTTCTCTTTATATTTCCCATGGCTTCTTTTCACAGATAAATAACCAAGCTCAGAAATCTGCACAACACTTCTGCCGATGTAAGCAGTGTCAGGATGAGCTCCACCCTGACATCTGGTGATGAGGTGTGGCAAGTTGTGGAAAAGAACTTCAGGGGCCAATCTCATTTGCATAGGCACACCCACCCCGCCTAGAATGAGGCCATAGCTGCCCAAATGATCACTTTGACTGCTGTGGGATCCCCAGTGTCTCTGTTATTGGGGCAGGAAGAATAAATTGTTATTATCCTGATTATGGGAACTGTGCTTGGAACTGTACTTGGCCTTTTGTTATGATGGAGGGACTGAATCCCCTAGATATTGAACCTGGCCCTTGTCGCTGTCAACTCTGACGGGCAGAAGGGTTACACCTACAATGGTTCAGTGAAAACTCTCGGTTGTTTGGGGACAATTATTAGCACAGAAGAATGCTACTGATCTATGTCTTACCTAACATGAGCATCTGTGTTTTTTTATTATTATTATTGTTGTTGTTTTTCCTTTATACTACACCACTACAATAGGAGGAAAAAACTATATTTGAAAAATAGACATATAGTTATTCATTCTTACACCTTCTGAAAGAGAAAATTGAACAGCCACCATTGCTGGTAGCTCAAAGGTAATTTTTCAAACATTAATTTCTTATTCTTGCTTATAACCCAACATGGGCTTGAAATTACCCAACTTGCTTCCTTATAAAACTTTTTGCATTCATTGCATGTGGAGTCTGATTTCTTCCTGTAGAGTTTTTTCATAAACATTGGGCTGCCTGTATTGATTTTAAAATAAATAAATAATATTCAAGCATTTCTTTTGAGGGAAAGAAAGAGAGAATTATATGGACTTTACAGACAGTGGTAAGTTTTTGTCCCTCCCACCTTGAGTGCCCTTTTAACTTTCAGGACTATAGTCTCCCCTCTGCCACACACAACAGATTTCAGAAAAAAAGTGGTCATTGATTCAGAAAGGGGCCTTAAGTATTCTACTTAGTGAGTAGAATGTCTGACCAGGCTGCCTGATTCTTCACTACCACCTCTTGAGCATTGGAAGCCCCTCAGTGTGAGCACCACACAATTTGTACTCTGTGAGATTTGGAGATGGGAGTTGTTAGAACTGGAGTAAGCTGCTCTATATGCCATGTATGGAACTCAGATCAGCATATATATATATCAAGGATGGAATCCATACACCTATCTGGAAACTCATACTGCTCTTAGCTGCATGATTACCCCTACGACTTCTATCTCCTCTCCTCCTCCTGGTCCATCACCCAGAGGGACAGTGGAATGGTGGTGGGAGAGGCAGTGTCAGCTCTACTTGTGAGTGAACCGTGATGCAGGGAGTAGTGCAGAAGTGGGTGTCGGGGGTCCGTGGGTTGCATGGATTGAAGAAGTCACAACTCCCTGTGAAAGCTCCCATCTCTCGGGGGAAAATGTAGTAGGAGCCCCATGAAGTGAACCTTATGGAGTTTTTTTGAGCACTTTAACAACAGATTACCACTTAAGAGCGCGTTGTCCATGGGAGGGGAAATTGCAGCTGTATAGCCTTTTCATCTTTGATTACAGCGGGGTATTTTTTGTATGAAATTCCACCAATTTTTTCCCCTCAGACTTACCTATGGTTCTTATACTATACAGCACATACATGTTTAAGAAAAGCATTTCTGCACACTCAGCAGAGATCAGTACAGGTGAGCCAGCCAGATTCTCCTCCATATACGTGAAGCAGTCTTTTGTCTGGCTATGCTGAAAGAAGGACAGGAGACATTTGACATGGATTTAATCAGGCCTCAACTTCATTATTAGATGTCTGGGACTACCTGGCAGATAACAGCGTACAGTGCAGGTAACCCCATGTTTATTCCGTAATTACCCGGGAGGCTTTTACCAGCTCCCCCTCTTTTTCCCTCCAGATCCCTCCAGCCAATCCATTGCTGGGACCTTACCATTCACCCGCCGTCGTAGGAGGGCTAAGGTGGGCTATAAGAATGGGGGATTGGCTCCCTGTCGTACCAGTCATAGGAATCTCTGACCGCCCCCCATTCATTCCTTTAAGGAACACCTCTTTTTAAGTCCTTTTCTAGGCCATTTATCTGGACACTGTATACCTCACCTAAGGAATACCTGCACTGGACATCCGCCCTACACTTAAATTATGAGTTGCGACATACAGCCTACCGCCCGTCATGCCATGCATGAACAAAGCCCTTCCTGAACCTGCTGTGGGGAAGGCAAAAAACAAAACAAAACAAAAAACCCAACTGCACCCAAGCCAATATGGCAGTAGGGGGAAAATTCCTTCCCAGGCCCCCTAAAGAAAGGGCAGCTAGTATAATGCCCACAGCAGGTGTTGACCAAACCTGGTATTTTACCACCTAAAGGGCAGGGAGGGTGGGTCCTGTCTCAGCCTGCTCCGTGTAAAAGGGAGGCTTCAGGAGCAGAGCTGCCCCTTTTAATCCCTGCATTCCTACAGGGTGAGTTAGTGACCATGCTGACCCATTGCAGTAGTTTTCATCTCCCCTCGCCCCCAGGCACAAAGCACTCTTCCTTTCATTCCGCCAGCCAGCCAAATACCCCCATGCTTAAAGATTCAGGGCAGTCATTAGCAGTGGTCCTTGGTCTGCTAGAGCCTAGATTTCTTAATTTTCAAGGCATGCTTCCAATTCTGTCTTCTCTTTCAGCTTTTGGGAGAAGGCGGGCTGAGTTTGGAAGGGGCTAGTGGATGTTCTTTTATGTATTGGAAGTTCTTTGTATTAATATTGTGTTATGTATTTTAATGTGTAGCAGAGGCACTCATAGCATAGATTGGGTGTCCAATCACATTTTAAAAATAAAATACAATAAATAAATAAATGTACAACTTAATTTTGCCTTGTTTATTTCGGTTTTCCTCCCAAAACTGTATGGATGAGTTATCTTTTCAGGAAACAAACCAAACTAAAAGGAAATAAGGCACGTGTCTCAACAAAATTAAGTTCATTGCTCATAGATTCCTTTGGAGACTATTTCACTGTAAAGATTTATGCAAATATTTCTGTCCTTCCGTAGGGCACACCCAAACTATGATGATATATTTTAAAAAAATAGCATGATGTGTTTGATGCTGGATTTGTGCCAGCTCTCAGTGCGGATTATGGTTACAGATCTGTTTTGACCATTACGCAGCAAATAGTAACATCTGGAAATTTGAAGTTCAAAGGTCATTTTCCTCATAAAGCTGAACAAGTATGATTCATAACAACCTGATTTTGACCTTCAGTTTAACAGAGTCCTGCTGCTGCAAACGCTGTATTGTAAAATATGTCTGTTTTTTTTCTTTGACTTGGTTTTATTTTGTTTTAGTTGAATTATTTAAACAGCTGATGTAGAATGGGAAATCTGCAAATGTTCCTTCCCCGCATTTAAATGTAAAAGGTAGAATGTTGTGTCTTGCACACTAGCACAAGATATGATAAGCTCTGTGTTGTAAAAATGAAAAAAAGTTCCTGTAATTTATGGTAGCATAAAGTCCCCTTGACTAGTTGCAAATTACTAATATTCTGGAATTATTTTTGTCTCTTCATTTGCTAACTAGTTCGTGTTTATATTTTCCTGGGGCTTACATACTACGCTGATGGGCAGCACTATAAAACCAAAATTAGCATTTGTTAATGCAGGGACTTTGATTATACCCTTGGGACATAAAGGATATGTATAGAAGTAAATCCTCTCCTTATTCTCCTACACAGCTCGGTTAGCTGTGTGCAAATCCTGTCTGTGTGCTCAGTGCACTCTCCACTCCCAGAAACAAAGATTCAAAAGTTTGGAAGTGTAGCATGGCTCTGCCTCCACATAGCCCTCCACAGAAGGGCTGAAAAGTAGCAAACTGCTCTCTCTACCCCCAGGAGCAAGAGGGAATCAAAGGAGCAATTGTTTCTCTCTAACACACAAATCTTTCACTAGTCTCTTCTTGTGTGATACAGGTATACACCTCCCCTTTCACAGGCCTGGGCCAAAAGGGTCTGTCTAACCCAGGGGTTCCCAAACTTGGTTCATGGCTTGTTCAGGGTAAGCCCTTGGCGGGCCGCGAGATGCTTTGTTTACCTGAGCGTCCGTAGGTACGGCCGCTCGCAGGTCTCAGTGGCTGCGATTCACTGTTCCCAGCCAATAGGAGCTGTGAGAAGCGGTGGCCTGTCCACGGGTAACTC